CCCGTCTCCCACTCCCTCTCTCCCACTTCCCCCCTGGTTCACAAATCTGTTTCCCCACTGGAGCTCTTCCCCATTCTTCTTCAGTAACCATTTTTCACCATCAAGAACCTGCACATATGGTTCCTTCTTTCTGGAACACTGTTTTCCATTAACATAGTCTTATTCARAACTTAGAAGATCATAAATGATACTTCCTCCAAGAGGTCTTCCCTCATTGACAATCCAGAAAAACCTCCTGGTTGCCATCTGGTAGTATTTCTCACCTACTTTCCATACAATAGGACAGTGTATAGGTGTATTGTTGTGCATTCCATTTGCTCATTATATAACTTTTGCTCCCACGATAGAGAATGATACAAGCAGACAATCCATAAGTAGCAATCTTCTGGCAAACGATCGATCTTAGGGAAAGAACGTGTTCTTCCTTATTGATGTAGTTTAGATATGAGGTATCCCCCCAAAAGCTCATGTGAGACAATGCAAGAAGATTTAAAGGTGAAAAGATGGGGTTATGAGAGCCTTAACCTAATAAGTGCCTTCATCCACTGATGGGGATCAACTAGATGGTAACTGTAGGCAGATTGCATGTGGCTGGAGAGGGTGGAACATTGGGGGTGTGACTTGGGGGCTTATAGTTTTGTTCTTGTTGAGTCGAGTTCGTTCTCTCTCTCTCTCTCTCCTTCCTGGTGCCATGTCCTGAGCTGCTTTCCTCCTCCACACCTTCTCACCATGACGTTCTATCCCACCTCAGGTCTGAAGCCGACTGTGGACTCAGCTCTGTGGACTGAGACCTCTGAAACCATGAGCACCAAGTAAATGTTTCCTCCTCTAAAGTCATTCTTGTCAGATCTCCCAGTCACTGCAGCAGGAAAGCTGACTAAAACCCCTCCTCTACATATCCTATTGTAATGACTGCAAGTAAGGGAAAAGGAAAAATACCAGTGAAAATAAGGAGGATGGGAGGGTGTTCATTGATAGGTAGAAGGCCATGCTGACTCTGGAACTCCTAATGCATATGGCAGAATATTGATGGATAAATCAAGGGCGAGGAACTAGTGCTCAGCGAAGAGCAAGGAGAATGCCAGGCACTGGTGGGAGTCCGCGTTCCCAGCAGGCTGAGGACTGGGAAGCAGGAAGGAGATGGAATTACAGCGGCTCCATGGCTCCCACCTTCCTGTGGGCAGAGTGGCAATCAGAATAGCTCCCTAGGGACCAAAATAATAAACCATGACCTCTTCTGTAAAGAAGTATTCAAAATATGCTCTGAGAAAAACACAACTTTTAATACGGTTGTAGAACCAATCGTGGAAAGCATCTCATTCTGAAAGTTGAGSGAGCTGGGACAAGAAGGGAACAGCAAAGCAGCTCGATGGGACAGAGATGCTGATGTCMCTGAATAAGTCAAAGTTTGTCCTAAAAAGCAGTTATTTAAATTGACTGTGCAACTACTTTTTAACATTAAAAATCCCAGTCATACAAAACCAGTTCAGAAAATTAAAAGGTCTAACGTGCTTCTCATCTCATTCTGTGAGCCCAGAGTTACCCCTGAAACCAAACCAGGAAAAGGCATGAAAGGGAGGGAGGGAGAGAGAGAAGGAAGGAGAAAGGAAGAAGAGAGAGAGTGAAGAGGGAAAGAGAGGGGAGATGGGAAAAAAGAAAAAAAAAACACAGAGACCAAGGATCCCCATGAACACAGGTGAAAAATTCTAAAAGTAGTTTAACAAACTTAATCCAATATTATATGAATTGGGAGAAGCACCAYGATGAAGTGGGATTCATCCCATTTTTAACATGAAAATCTTAAGCACAAATATTAACAACCTAAACAAACAAAACCACCGGATGATCTCAAAGACACAGAAAAGGAATTTGATCAAATCCAACATCGATTTCTTATTTTTAAAACAAACAAATAAAATATACACCTCTCAGCAAAGGAAGAATGGACAGGCTTTCTTCAACCAGGTAAAGAACACAGGAGAGAAACCTACCGCTTAGGTCACATGTACCRAGGGAAGACCACACACTGCCCTGAAATCAGGAGCAGGACAAGGCTGTCTTCTCCTGCTACCTCTAACCAACAACCAGAAAGTCAGAAAAATGAAAAATATTTATATGGTAAGGTGAGAAGAAAATTTTTCTTTTTTTTTTAGCAGATAGAGAATCTACAAAAACAGAAAACAAACAAAAAAATTACTAGAACTGACTGATTTAAGCAAGTTTGCAGGAAATGAGATTGAAATACAAAAATCAATTATGTTTCCAAAAAATAGCAACAAATAATAAGAAACCAAGATTTTAAAGTAATACCATAATAGCTTAAAAGCCTAAAATATTTAGGAATAAATCTGACAAAATTTGTGGAAGAACTGCTTACTGAAAACTACAAAACGATGCTGTTAAAGAAGACTTTAATATGGAGAAATATACTTTGTTCATAGATTGAAAGATTCAAACTTGGTCATGTTAATCCAAATTAATATTTAATATCCATATAATCCCAATCAAAATTCTAGCAAACTTTTGTACAAGTGGAAAAACTAATTCACAAATCCATAGGAGAACATACAGCTAAAATAGCCAAAACAACTTTAAAATATAAGAATCACGTTGGAAGACTTACTTGATTTCAAAATTTATTATTGAGCTAYAGTAATCAAGAGAGTGTGGTACTGGCATTAGGATTGACAAGTAGATCAATGGAATCCAATAAAGTACAAGAATAGAACTACATATATATAATCAAYTGATTTTCAACAAAGATGTAAYGGTGATTCAGTGGAAAAAGGATAGTCTTTTCARTAYATTGAGTTCATGCAAAAAGGTGAACTCAAAATGGATCCTAGGCTCAAATAAAAAAATGAATACTATTAACATTCCTCTAAGAAACATAAGAGGTAATTCTTATAAACTTGGGTTAGGCAAAGAGAGATATGACAACAAAAATTGTATRTATTTAAAAAAAACTAGCAAATTGTACTTGATCAAAATTAAGAACAATTGCTTTTTAAACGCACTGTTATCATAAGGTAAGTTCAGGATGTAACCTGTGATCAAAACATTTACAAAACACATTTTCTGACAAAGAATCTCATCTGTAACATGAGATTCCTCAAAATACATTAAGAAAACAAAAAGCTATAAAATATGGGTGGTAAATTTAAAAAGATATTTCTTTGTTTTTAACCTCAAAACATTCACTTTTATTTTTATATAAATGGATTATTCCCAATAAAGTCTTCCATGGCACAAAGATCAGTTAATTCAATAAATGATGTAAACCAAACCAGACTTTCATATGCCAAATGATGGAGTTTGACACCTTCTTTACAATTTGTAAAACTTCACTCAAAATARATAACAGATCTCAAATTAAGCACTAAAACCATACAGTTCTTATAAGAAAACATAGGTCCTGTGATCTTGCATTATTTAAAAAGATATTTCACCAAAGAATATACATGGATAGCAAATGACCACATGAAAAAAATGCTGAGCATAATTAATYAGCCATTGGGAAAATGCACACTAAAGCCGCAAAGATATACTACCACATTCCTGAATCAGCACCATTGGCCATACCCAGTGTTAGTGAGGTACAGGGCAACCAAAATCCCATATACTTTTTTGAACATGTTAAACTATGTAACCACTCTGGGAAAGAATTATCCAGTTTCTTGAAATGTTAAGCACACACCTTCCATACAGCCTGAATATCCCACATCTGTTTGTCTATGTAAAGGATAGTACGGGAACATACAAAGTGAGTGCTCACAACCTGCAAGGGCCAAACTTTGGGAACAACTTAAATATCTATCAAAATGTGAATGAATRAACAAAGTGTGGCATATCTATACAACAACACGTTACTCAACAACAAAAGGAACTAACTCCTGATTTATACAATGTGGAAGAATCTTAAAATAACTGTATTGAGCTACAGGACACATACAAAAAGGAGGAAGTAACGTATGGTTCCATGTAACTAAAATTCTAGAAAATGCAAATTAATCTAGAGGGGTAGAAAGCAGATYTGTGGCTGCCTGAGGAGGTGGGTTCAGGAGGGGAAGGAGGGAGAGATTCCAAAGGCTCAAGTGGAAATTCACGGGTGTGACAGATATGCTCGTTATTTGAATTGTGGTGATGGTATCACAGGTGCATACATCAGAACTTACCAAAGTGCACCCAGTCAATATGCAAAGTTTATTTTGTGCCAGTTATACCTCAGAAAAGGTGTATTTTTAAATTAGACATTGAAATGAAATCAAAACTCACAGATACACACTTTCCAGTCGTGAATTAATTTTTGGCCAAACTTGCTTGATTCCTGAAATGAACATGACTTGAGAATATATTCCATCCTGGTAAGTTTTAAGTAAGAACCGTAATATAAATGGTTCATGTAACTGTAACTGTGAATCAGAAGTAGCCAGGAATAACCACTGTTAATAGTCCCACTCATAAAAATTAATAATAAGGCAGGCAGCAGTTAATGCTAGTGTAAGTGGTAACATCAGGAGGTATAAATCAGCACAAATTTTTGGAGACCAATTTGGAAGTCTCAAAATGTACCCAATTTTTATCTTGACAGAACCATTCTTAGGAATGCTTCTTTGAAAATTAATTAAGGATGTGAGTAAATATTAAGGATATTCATAACAGTGCATATATAACATAAATAAGTCAAGCTACCCAAATTGCCTACAAAAATTCACTTATAAAAATATAACCATAAAGCAGAATATTATACACATCAAGTTGATGACATGGATAGTCTTATCTTGAGAAAGGCTCCTAATAAGAGTAGAAATAAGCTACAGAAATTATGATTAACTTGTGCAAAAATTATAAGGTTATATTTGTGCCAGTGGTGTATGGCTATAATTCCAGCTACTTGGGAGGCTGATGCAGAAGATCGCAAGTTCAAGGCCAGCCTGGGAAGCTTAGTGAGATGCTACTTCAAAACAAAAAGGTCTGAGTATGTAGCTCTGTGGTAGAGCATCCCTGGGTTCAATCTTTAGTAACAYACACACCCACACACGTGCATGTGCAYGCACACAAAAATATTTGCCTTCATAGAATAGGGAACAATGTGTATCATTAACAACAGTGACTGCTGAATAGTAGGACTGTAGATGATTTAAAATTTTTTGTATGCTTTCCTGTAATTTCCAAAGAGTTGTCACAATATAAGTTCTTTATGGTCAGAGGTTCCCTCTTGAACCGAGGTGTGTGGTTCATGTCTGAGCACACACGATTCATCAAAGGTATGATGGCTTCTAAGAGTTGTTTGGTTTGAAGGTCCCTCTGACACTTGGATTATGAGTCCAAGGGAAGTGAAGAAGAACAACACAGGGCACGGTTAGGAGACATGCCTCCCAACCCAGTCCTGATACTCACTGCCGAGCCACTGTACTCATATCTGTGGCTTGTGCAAATAAGAGCCAAAGAGCTGTTTTCATGAGTCCCTGTGAGAYACTGTGTGACTCTGCTGGGGGACAGACACAATCTCAGCTGTTAGTGAGACTCTGAGAGGCTCCAGAGTTGACTCTGTAGGCGTCACCCATGGCTTTGTGTGTAGTGGGCCTGTGCCCTGGGGTCCCCTGGTTAGCCTGGCCGTGGTGGTGGGCAGAGTGGTGGTCATGGCAGGATGGAAGAGCACACTGAGGGCTGGATCACGAGTCCTGAGATGCTCACAAACAGTGGACAAGGGCATCAGGAGAGGGCAGAGACAGCAAAAGTTACCCCAATCATGCAAATCAAGTGTTCCCAGCCCAATTTCACACACTGGGGTCTCCGTGATCCACCCTCTGCCCTCTGCATGGCACTGCATGGCCACAAAGATGTTTGCAAACAACCAGGTGCACASACACTTTATTTCAGCATTCAAGCCACTGCACCAATTTGGCCAGGTGGAATTTTAACTCAGGCAGAGCAGGCAGAGGGGAAAGGAGGGCAGGTACAGAAATTGCACCTTTTTACGGAGAAGAAAACCTGCCACAGAACAAGATGCTCTTGGTTTCGTGGTGCTTGATAAAGAAAAGGAAGGGGTGGTCTGCACAGAATCTTGGTTCTATTCTCACACTCCGGGCATTTCTGACCACCGCGGTGGCTGCAGCTGCCTCGGTGCCTTCCTCGTTGACCTCCACAAAGCACTTGTGGGCAACCTTGGACACAGGCATGTTCTTCTTATTTGCCATTCCAGAGAAGTCGGCCTTGGTTTCCTCAAATGCGTCAGTCATTCCTAAAGCGCGAAGGAAAGACTCCAAGTCATAGCTCTCCTCCAGCTTTAATCTGGGAAGGAAAACTTGAACTTTACTTTTTYTCATGTTTTCTGGATCTGTCCAGGYTCTGAACTTCTCATATGTAAGCGCTTCTTCCACCTGGAAMAGCAAAGGGTCAAATCTTAAACTCTAGAGGAACACAGCCTGTGGCCACCACCCACATATTACCCCTCTCCCCATGACATGGAGCTAAATGGTGAGTTCTTGTCCAACACTGTCTTCAGATGTTTTTCTGGCTATAAAAACACTAAGCGTTCCCTCAAAATCCCATCTTTTCCCAGTCTTATGGATATAAGAGTTGAAGAGCTAGAAAACACCTTACAGAAACAGGAAGTATTAATAGAAACAATCTTCACTAAATTCATTTTAAATATTAAAAAATATTTTGACATTTTAGAAAAAAACATGACCAATTAATTATATTCATATTCATATTCATATAATCAGCTTCAAATCCTCCAAGACTCATCACTGATTCTGTTGATCCATGAAGAAGGAGGGAAGGAAGGAGGAAGGACACTGGCTTCCATTTGCACCTCCCATTCCTTTACCAAATGGTGCCCAGCAGAGTGTCCCTTTCCAGGGACAGTGGTTCTGATGCTGGCTCTATTCCTAAGCTCTCCTAACTTTCTCCTTGGGGTGGCCATGACAGATCCATTCTAATGCCTATACCTTTCTGACTCCATAGAGAAGCTGAGGAAATCCARTGGCCCCGCCCTCACGTTCCTGTTCATTGGTATGCTGAACTRGATCTTATCAGCCAGGATGGAAATATTGACTCCATGGGACTCAGCAAACTAAAATCAAGGGCCACTCCCAGCTCTCAGGGAGATGTTTTACCAACACACAATGGACCCTGCACCTCTTACCTTCCCAGTTTACTTCTCTTTTCCTGGACTGTTTCTATTCTATCATGAGAAAATTCTTCTCTCCTCCTATCTAAGGTAAATCCCTCACCTGCACTTTAGACCCTTCCTATTCAGCATGTGGTCTCTTAATCAGTAGCATCTGTTCCACCTGGAACCTTACAAGAACAGCAGTCTCAAAGCACAGTCCACTGGTCAACATCTGCATTTGAACAAGATCCCCAGAAGGTTCATATGCCCATTAATATTTGAGAAACACTGCTCAGTCCAATCCCTACCCTTCTTCCAGGACTTTTGTCCAAGAGTTACTGGGTTCTGAGGGTTCCAATCCTGCCCTTTAGAATAAAGAATGCTATTGTAGCTTCACCAATACTCATCCACTCCTAGACATATACTCAAAAGAAATGAGTATACATATTCACCAAAAGACATGCATCTGTGTTCCCCAGCACCACTTGTAATAACCTATAACTGGAACCTCAAATGCCATCTGGCAGATGGACTTGAAGAAATGGACTCATCTGGAATCCACAGACACAGACTGGCTGCCCAGGGCTCACCGTGGCAAGGTCAGTGCTGTCAATGGGAAGCAGAATGATCATGCTCAGCTCCTCCTCTGCATAGGGCAGTTCCAGGACCTGGGTGTGCACCTCCTCCACGTACCCAAAATTAAATCTGGCTTGTTTAAACATCATCTGCACTGTTTTCTGCTCCTAGCAAAAACATGAAATTAAAAGTTAGATCCTTAAAAATAAGCACAATTCATCAAAATAATACATACTTAAATCACAGAATTCTAGAGAAGTATAAGACAATTATTATTCCCATGCATTTATGCTGTTAGAAGTCAAATCTCCATTAGTGTATCTCAGTGTTGAGCAGAACAGGCTATTGTTCCCCCAAACAAGTATTATTACCAGGTGAGAGAGAACAGTTTGATGAATGCAGAAGGACATAAAAGAGTACATTATTTTTGGAAGAAATTGTGTTTGCTCTTTTGAGAAGTTCCATAGAGAAGCACTCCCATGGACCTTATAATTAAAAATTATGTCTCCAAGTTAAGGGGAGCATGAACTAATATTCAGCTATGGGGCTGAAGGATCTGGCTAGAAAAGATGAATAGGCCAAAGGGAATTATATTTTTACTCTAAAAGTTGCCCAGTTACGTAATTTACTTTATAGCTTTGGTTTTCTTGGGGAGGGGAACTTGACAAGATGTATAAGGTCAGGCATTTTTAAAGCTTGCTTTAAATATATGCTTGCTTTCATATCTTTGGGCAATATGCTGTTGTCAGGAGGTCAATTTAATGAAGGTCAGATTCCTAGCTAACAAGTATTGACCTTAGCCATTACCATATTTAAAGGGAAAGGCAGAAAATTGTTTTTAAAGTTAACTTTAATATCAGCTGAGACTTTTTTCTTTTGTTCAGAACTGTAGGATCAAGAATTCCAAGGCAATATACAGCGATTACTGCCATTGACATTGCAGAAAGGTATCATAAGTAAATACAGACAGTGTCACTATGTATGTAAAAACATAGTGTCACTATGTATGTAAAGATAGAACTATCAATACAATTATTTTAGTGTTTTCTCCTAGTCCAATTAAAGATATATGGGAGGGGGTATTAAATTCATTCTGAAATAGATTAAGAACTAAGATGGCATGAAATAAATAATTCAGTTTTGCATTCATCATATGCTTTAAAGAAGTAGCAGTACATGGGAAAATATGTCCCCACCTGGTTGGTTTTAAAGGGCATCCCCCTTGTGTACTTCCTGTCAAATTGCTCATTCCACTTTCCCTTGAAGTACATGGCATTCACAAGGACCAACTTAGTCAGTGGATCGACTGTCCCAGGACCCAGCAACTCTGAAATCTTGCCTGTGAAGAATACAAGAAAAGTTTCTAGTGATTTGGGGGATCATACAACCCCTGGGCATACGAAGCCCCGGGGCTGGTGAGAAGCCAGGCCAGGTCTGTCTTTCACACCCAGTGCAGCAGTTATCCCTAAAGAACCATCTTGACGTGTGTATTTGTAACTTTGGTTTTTACCTCAGTTTCTAGATACAGAAATTCAGGATCAGAGCATGTGCCCTGTTTTGTGCCAAGTTCACACTGGTGGCCAGTGGGAAAATAACCCGAGTTTTCATTTTCACTGTGGGCTCTTGACTGACTCTAGCATGGTAATATCTCAGCATCATTATTGACATAATGCATCATTACTGCCTTCCTAGGCAGGATACGTCTTTGTCCTGTGCATCGTAGAATGTTGAACTGGCCGGATTTTCAGCGATTGTGACAACTGAAAATGTCTTAACCATCTCGTCTCCTGGAGCGAGAACCACCCCTGGCTGAGAACCACTGCTCTGAGCCAAACTTCCAATCTCCCAAAGGATGGGGAATATACACCTGTGGGTAGGAGAGGTCAGGCCATCTCAGAGGAGTGAATGGGACAGAGGAACTGGGGGATGGAATAGAGGGACCCAAGTTGAGTTGTCCCAATGACAGAGGAGATCCACCAGCCCCTCCAGCAAGTTGATGGAGAAAATCTATCAAGCAAATACCAAATAAAAGTTAATAATAATAATTTTTGTAAACAATAGACATCATGGATAAAATGAGTAACTTCAAAAATGAAAAGAAAGTAGCTATAGGTTAGAAGTTATATTTGCCTGATAGGATTACTTCAAAATCTATAAGGTAAAAATTGATAGACTTACAGAGAAAAATTGAAAAGTACACAATCATAGTTGGAGATTTTGACCTGCCCCAAAGATGCCAAAATTTTTGACACAATCAAAAAGCTGTAAACTAAAAGTGGTACATTCATCCTGAAAACATTGATAAAAGTGATTGTTTATAAAATTGCTTAAGCTAAATGTCAAGTCTCAACAATTTCAAAGAATTAATAAAATAGAGCCTACCTACTCTGRATATGGGATTTTTCTTGTTTTCCATAACAATTTTTAATTCCATACCTCTGTTCTTTTAAGAAWTTCCTATTCATTATTGTCCATTTTTATTCAAGTTAAATGATGTGTCACTTAAGGAAGGGGACAAATTCATAGTTATTTGTTATTATAATAAAGTATAATTGGGTATAATTGTATGTGCTAYATATTATTATTCAGTTTAATAAATGATATAAGTATATATTTTAAGGAAAAAAAAAACTAGTTCAGGTACCACAGGGAGGTCATGTGACACCGGGAACTGATGTCTCTAGGCTTCAATCTAACTGAATATCATCTGCATCAGCTTATAGCCAGGGTCTCCCTGGGAGAAGATAAGCAGGCCCCCAAAAGAAGCATTTATTGGGAATTTTCCAGCACAATATGGAGCATGGAGTCTGAAATCCCAACATCAAGTTTATTTCACTTTGTTAACCCTAATTTGTAATGTGGTAAGCCCAAGAGAAACAACAGAAATGCATCATTGGCCTGAAAACCCAGAAAGCACACAAAGAAGCCTCTAGTAACTGGGTCATGGCGGTAGCTTCCTGGAGGTTCCATCCCGCCTCCCCTTGCATGGTACCTCCAGGTCCACCTACATTAAAGCCTCCTACCTTCAGTCTTCTYTGACACCCAGTCATTGATGTGCTTCCTGCATTCTTCAGTATCTTGAGCAAAGGACAGCTCCTCCAGCTCTGCCTGATAGAACTTCTGACAGGATTCCTTGAAGGTCTACAAACACACAACGCTGAGTTTGACCTGATTCAACAAAGGTGCCCACAACTGTGAAAGAAATTTCTTTTCCCTCTTATTTGTATTTGTATTTGTATCATACATGCTTCCAGAGGTCATGCTGTATTTTAAGATGTGTTCATGAAATCACCATCAATGTGTGGTCCACCTACTCTGTGCCTAGCACTCTGCTAGTTGTTGGACACCAGGTGGAGACTTGGTGTCTGATGAGATGGCCCACAGCCTGRTAAGAGAGAGTCCAAACACAGACACTTACAAGATGTGAAGACTGTCACCACCCTTGCACCAAACAGCCCAGGAACATCCGGCAAATATTGACTTTGATTTTCTGTTTACCCCAGTGGGCWGTCCAACTCTACATTTTCCACATTGCCAGCACCAACCAGTGTTTGAAATATTTGTTGAATGACTGACAGGAACTAAGTTGTCAAGAAATCAGATCTACAATTGGACAAATAATGAAAAAGCATTTTAGATCTAGGACATTATGGTTGATTGGGAGAACATGGAGCAAGGAAAGTCCTCTGGGAGAGGAGTGTGCTAGTTTTGGATTAGKATGTGTGCACATGAGCAAATGAGTGTGAATATGTGCATGCATGGGTGTGCACATAAATGTGTGTGCATGTGTACATATTTGTGTGTACATGTGACTCTGTCTGTATGTTTGTGCATTTCAGAGAATTTAAACATAAGCTGAGGTCAAATCGGGAAAGACTTGTATCTAGTACATTAAATCCCAGATCACTCCCCCCACAAATATCTGTTTTTAGATATAGCATCTAGCTTCCATCTTCTAAGCATCRCAAATATTTTAGGAGCCAAGCAATTGAAAAAGGTGAACATTGGTTCCCTACGTCCCCAATATTCAAAGATCATATGGATGTTCAAAAATAAATGATGGTTCACCAGATTTCTGAGATCCAGWATCACCTCCAGTGATAGGTGAGTCCAGAGCTGACAACTTCTGCATGACACCATCAGATGGCAGGCAGGACCAAGGTATATCTGAATGTTGGATAAGAATCCTTGGAACTCTGCCAATCAGATGGTCACTCTTGCCCTGATTGTTCATTAATCTCAAGGCACGCTCACTTTGCATATTCTGTGGCATAATTTTTTGGAACTCACTTATTGTGTTATGTCGGGCTCAGAGTAGACCAGGGAACTCTGGAATCAAATGCTGAAGTGTGAAGAGATTTTCACTTTAGAAAGAAAGTAGATTTATAAGACAAATAAAAGGGCCTGGCAAGACTTGGAAGGCCAGTCAGGAGGAGTGGATGGTAACGTGAAAGATTCAGTAAATCCAAACCTAAGCATCGCCAGTGGTGATTGAGAAGGGAGCCAATTTAAGAGAGTTTGAGAGGCCACCTCAGCAGAAATCAGCTCAATGAACATAGGTGGAACTCACTGCAGAGGAGCTTTGTCCAGCACACAGGATGATGCTGTCTCTCAGAGATGGGGAAGGGGGAGAAAACATCTGGGTGCAGGAGGATGGAAGTACTGACTCTGGCTTCAGGGAGGGATATATCAGAACTAATTTAAAAAGACGTAACCCAGAAGCATGGTGGATTATGCATAGTGGCATAAAGTAAAATTCAGAATTATAACTGCAGACATGTAAGTCTAAGCACATTTTTAAGGTGGTAGAGTTCTTCACTCTCTGCTTTCATCAATGTGTGAGTACTACTTACCGAAAGAAAATCACACGTTTTTTCTCCAAAGAGTCGGCTGGCAGTTCTGAGCACATACTGAGTGTCAGGTTTGTTGATATGAGTGAGAAGTGACTGGAAACCTTGGTGAACKTCTTCATCTCTGTTCAAACAGAGAGCCTGTGAGTAGAAAGGCAGTATATTTAAAAGAGATATTTCCAAGCAAAATTCTGGACTGAACGTCATACAGGTCTCTTTCTTAATTGCTTTAACTGTGCAGGGGCTTCAACTTGGCACTATTGACATTTGGAGCCTGATAACTCTTGGTAGTAGCTACCCGTGTGCTTTGTAGCACGTTTTGCAACATTTCTGGCCTCTGACCACTAGCGGGCGGTAGCATCTCTACACTAAGAAAACTCTCCAGATCTCACCAAGTGTCCCTAGGGAGGCAAAAATCCCCACCTGGGTGAGAGCCACTGGTGTAGCAGATTTATCCATGGCCAGGAAAGAAGCATGCATTAACCCAGAAACATAAAAAATAAGTAGTTGGGGTGAATCTAATATGACCCAGCAATTGCAAAAAAAAAAAGAGTACAAATAAAAACAAAAAATGTTTCCTCTGCAATTTTACAGAAGTTCTCCAGATCAGATTGATTTACAAGTCAAGTCACAGTGATAAGCAAGGTTTTTCCTGTCACCTCAGTTCAGAGCCTCCCCCAGAGAGTTGAAACAACCACTGTGGAATCTCAGCTGGGGTCTCAACTGCAGGAGACTGTCATACACCCCTGATGTGAGTGGCAAAGGGACACCCATGTGACAATTTTCTGGAATGTTTTCACCACATGGTGGGAAAATGTCCCTTAAGTATTAGCCACCACTTTGTTTATAGATTAGGGTGTCTATACCATTTAGGGTTAATCAGATTATGCCTTCCTTCTAAATAACCCCAACAGATCTAAATCCATATTTATGTTACATTTTTCTTCTGCTCTGCATAAGCATACACTACAAATAATCCATTTAATAAGAAGCCCATTTACACARCTGTACTTCTATTTAAAACATAATGTTATCAAAAGTTTTAAATATAACAAGGTTGAAATTTTTTCCTTTGTGAGACACAGTTATAGTTAACCTTATTTATCAAAGATGTGATTCCACTAGAATATTTGATTGCTTTATTTGAAGAAAATAACTTTATAGCTTGATTTATCCTATAAACATCAGTGGACATGACCCATCCTACTCCACTCAGCCTTCTCTCCTGTCTGCCCCAGTAGGCATAGGCCCAGGACCCTCCTCCCACCTAATGGCTACCCTGGCTTCCACCAGCTGGAGTGAGAGTAAGAAAGATCAGTTGTATGTGAGGGGGAAAAAAAAAAAAAGGACCCTGTCTTCCCTGTCTTGTTATTTTGCTTTTTTCCAGCAGGCATACATACCTGGGACATCTGGACTGAGGTGTTTCCTTTTGCCCCCAGGTAGACCATGCCCAGGGCAGAGGAGATGCTCAGGGGGGAGAAGAAGACGTTCCGTGATTTGTCCTCTTCACCCAACATTTTGAGTAAGGTGATGGCAAAAGTGCCATTTGCTTCACTGATATCATCCATCTGGAAGGTCTGGACCAAATTCAGAACAGAGGCACATCAACCAAGCCCTCCTGGAGTCACACCCTCATCAGTGCCCCATCTGCAGACACTAGGCATGCCAGGTGAGCAACTGCATCCCCAGGACCTCTGCTCCCCATCCTCAGTCCATGACTGCCTCATCTTACCTGGCAGTAGGGCCTTTGCAAATGTGATTAAATTAAGGGTTCTGGATGTGGAGATTATCCTGGATCATCCAGGTGACTTTAGTGGAATCGGAGGGCTTTTATAAGAAGGAGTCAGGAGGATCAGCGGCGGAGAATGAGACCTGAGGGCAGAAGCAGAAGTCAGATGGATGCAGGTCCCATGAGCAAGGAATTTGGCTGCCTCCAGAAGACAGAAAAGGAAGAGAACAGACATCCCTGGGGCCTCCAGGAGAAAGGAGGGAGGGAGAAAAGAGGGAAGGAAGAAGGAAATCAGGAAGGAAGGAAGGCAACAAACGGCTCTGGGTACCACTTTGAATTTATGACCCTTAGAACGATAAGATAATAAATTCATGGTGCTGTGGCCACTAACTTTGTAGGAAGGTGTCACACCGTGACAATAGAAGACTAAGACATTGTGGGGGTCTTGGTTTTAGTTTTTTTCCACAAAATATCCAACAGTGAGTGGCCCATTCTCACTGACACCATTCTTGAAAACTGGGGCCGGGACACCCTCCGAAACCTGCTTAGTCCCTCGTCCCTGTCCCTCAGTGTGACCATGGCCAGCAGGGTCCTTGCCAGGCACTGTTCTCAGTGCTTCCTGTGGATCATCTCGCTGAGCCTACACTTTGATTCCAGGGCCTGCACCCTTCATCATTACACAAAGCCCCCACATTACTGCTACTTCTCTTTCAGCTTGTGGTCTCCAGCGTAAGGTACACAGAATCTTCTAAGAATCAAATAACTCTTAGCGAATAAAAACTGCATCCCTGTCATCATGTCTTGTGGAAATGGCTAGATATATTTCACCAAGTTTGRAGGGTATATTTGGGATAGTTGGACCTATAAAAAATGGGAAGATAAAAAATTTACTTTGAATCTGGGTGGTTTCAGAAAGATGCACTATTTTCCACAAGAGCTTCTGAAATTGGACAGAGCCAGCTACAGAAAGAGTTCAATTGAAATATAATCTTATACAATATGAAAATGTTTTATTATAACAAAATATCATATGTCATATAGAGATTTTTACAYATACACACACAAAATATGAAGCCCAAATCTCAAGTCGTTGTGCAAACACCTTGCATTAGATGCACCGATTTGGGATCTGTTTTGGCCAAGGTGACCTTAATGTTCCCCTCAGCTTGACTAAACAGTAATTAAGCTAAACTTGATTAAATAAACACACCAGCCAGGTCTCTTCCTGCCTCAATCCTGACATTCCTTTAGACAATCTGTAATTGTGCATCTTATTTATCAGGGACTGGGGTCCATTCCTTTGAAATGCAACCATCAGTGAGGGCGGGGCTGCTAGCAGCCATATTCTGTGGAAGACAGGAGCCTAACTTATTCAGGCACATTACTGCAAAGCATAAAAATTTACTATTGGTTATTATTAATTATTACAATTTCAGAAAATTATTGTGTCCTGCACTAATTCATTATTAATTTCTACTAAACCTTATCGAAACCCAGGCTATTCCATAAGATATTCAAATTCATCCACTTGTTTCATTTCTCCTGAACTTCCTTCTTGTTATAATTAAGGAGAGTTTAGAAAATAAAAGAACAAATCATGGCCCAAGAACTCATGACTCTACAAGCTCTTTTCTTCTGTTATATTATCCCTTTTTTTAATAAGCATGTACATTTTTTAATTAAAAAAAATAAAGTCAAACAAGAAAAATAAGTCCCAGTTTAGAAGGTTAGCAAATAAGCAAAATGGAAAGTACTGGAAGCTCCATCTAGAGACCCAAATCATCACACGTGTTCCTGTCTACAAACAGATGGGTCACCTTGTGATGTGTCTCATTCCAGTTCCTGTTGGACCATGAGGTCCCTTATACAGGTAGCTTTGAAACCTTACTCCATTGGGGCAGGTCTTGTGGGTCTCAGAGACACAGAAAAAGGGAAGCCAGGTGGGTGGTCCTGGGGGAAGGAGAGGAAGAACTAGGCAACAGAGCATCTCTATRGAAGCATCTCTAAAGTGTCTCCTAAAGTATTTTTAAGAAGGTGTCTCTGAATTTTTTAAAGTGTGGTTATAGTTTAGAAGGTGTACAGGCAACACTCTAATTACACAACCCAAACCAGTACAGATTCTCCAAAATCTGAAATAAATGGGTGAAAATGTCAAACAAGAAACGACAGAGTGGCATACTCTGTATAACAGTGCTCTGGACTTAGTAGGCCATTTACTTGAGAAAAAAATGTCACAGTTCCTCACTGTCCCCYATCATAAAACCTCCCCAGAACTTACACTGAGGGTTGCAGATGTTGGGAGGCTGGTGTCTGCCACTGTGGGCCACCCCCTAGCAAAGCAGCATCCAGCCTGCTTCAAGCCACCTCCAGCCCTACACAGACAGCCTCAGTTACACTGGATGACGCTTCAGAAACAAGGAAACAGAAAGCAATATTCACACCATATAAAATGTGCCCATCAGACACTGGCATCCAACAAATGAAAAGAAAGAAAGAGTTAGATAAACTGGATATGACAGTCAGAAATAAATTTGGATTTGATTCTACCTTAGCATGAGAGCTTTGGACTCCAGGTGAGGCAGTCATGATTTTAGGGTGGTGACTGTGTGTGCATGTGTGTGTGTGTGTGTGTGTGTGTGTGTGTGTGTTGTGTGAGATTATCTTGTCGAACAGGAAAAGGAAATGAATTAAACTATTTCATCAACCTCGTTTACATTTTAATTGCTCCTAATTGTAAATTCCTACTTCTGGTTTCTTCCGTCTTTCCTCTTCCTTCATCTCAATTCCTCGCCTCCATCCCTTCCTAACATTCAGGTGCTGGTCAGTAGTGTAGCATTTCCCATCCATATCTACCCCATACAGCTACACACATACTGGCTCACCCCCACACAGGTGCATGATCCTGCTCATGCCAACAGGCAGGCAGGCGCAGAGACCAGCTAACAGAATCACTTCCCTCCTCTTTTTCTGGGGCTCAATCTCATCTGTACAAGTTCTTGAAAAGGTTGAAAACTGAAACAAAACAGACCTTGTCCAATACATCTAAAAAGGAATTAATTTCAATGTAATGCAAAACAATAGTATTAGGTTCAAGTGCTACAATTAGATTGTCACAAAAACACAGCAAGGAAAAGTTTTTATTTCCAGCCAATAAAATACATTGATATTAAGCTAGTGTTCCTTTCATAGCTGAACAAATGAAAACAAGGACAATTATGTACTATCTACAGACTCGCAGGAAAAATGACAGAAGATCTCAGAAGTAAGCCTTCTGCTTCCAAGTATGTGACATGGTTGTCCTCCTGAGACCCTTGAACACTTCGAATTCTGCTCTCCAAAACCCCTCCCCCTCCACACATCCCAGAGTGCATGTATTCAAAGGGCACTTCCATAGAACCATCCCCACATTCTTAGGGAGAAGGAAATGAAGCATAATTGTAATAATTACTGACCAGGAGGAGACACGCATACTGAAATGCATGCCTGTAAGTTGTCCAGGTGCTCTATAACTGAAAAACTTTCAAAGTGCTAAGGAATCCCCCCTTGTAGAGAAGCTGTTCTGAAAGTTTGGGCAGGTGTTTTGTAGGCAGTGTAAAGGGGGAATGTCGCCCTCAGGATTGGCAGGTGTGAAGAATGCAGCAGGAAGAGCATGGTAGTGTGGGGGCCCAAGGAGTGGATCTGCTGGGGGGTGGGGGAGGCAAAATGGGTCCCAAGTGCTAGCCTTAGAGTCTAGACTGGGGCTAGGGTCTGGACAGCCACAGGTGGTTTTTAAATAAATATCTTAAGGAGTAGGTTGGGGTTTAGAAAAATGACATGGCTCACTATATGGTGAGGAAAAGGGCTGGGGAACGTGCAGGAAGACCACTACCACGGACTAGTGACTCCTGTGTGGAGGAAACACCTGTGCTGGAGAAGAGAGAGAGGGAAGTGCCCGCAGAGGACTGCCCACACAGGCTGAGCAGGAGGCCAGGATCATTCTGAGCACAACCCTCCAAATTCATAGGAAACTTACATGAGGAGACACCCTGGAATGGGGAAGGTCATACATTCCACTGGAGAGGCGGGGAGCATACCATACCAAGTGGACCTGTAACAAGGACAGCCAGGGATGTTTGGACATATAGGTAGGCCACTGGGTGAGTAGAGGCCCTGGCATGAGAGGCTGGGAGTCATCAACATCCTGATTCCAGGAGAGTCTATGAGAATGGATGAAATGACTTGGAACATGTGGTTAGTGGAGACACCCAAGGACAAATTCACTTAATTAATGGAGGGGTTCCCCTATATTTAAAGGTAGTAAAAGGAAGAAAAAAGAGACTGTGACCCAGCAATCAGGGATGTACTGGGAGAACTGGGAGGTGAGTCTGTGGGAGGTCCATTATACACAGCATCATTACACACAGTTGGAAACCACCGGGAAGTTACAGGGGAGGAGAAAGCAGCCCTTGGTGAGGGGGTCAGCAGTGCCCTCCGCACAGGAGCACAGAGCTAAAGGCTGAAGAGGGGTACCTGGGGAGTGAGGAACTAATTTAAGTAACTAAAGGGCTACTGCGGCTACAACCTAAGGGGGAGGTCGGTGAAGAAGGATTTGGTGGCCCGGCAGGTGGAGGGTGGGGGATACCAGGGACGTAACTCAGGGTAGAGCGCCCCCCTAGTGTGCTGGTCCGCAGGAGGCACGAGTCCAGTCCCGGTACCGCAGGTGGGGGGGGACGGTGCGGTTTAAGTTGAAGGGAAGTGACCACGGAGGAAAATGAAAGACGAAGGGAGGGAGGAAAGGAAGCAAGGAAGGGAAGGTACAGACTACCAGCTGCTGCCGCAGGAGACCCGCGTTCGTGCTGGAGGTAGCTGAGACCCCGCACTTCCCTAGAACTTGCCCCAAGGCGCCACAAAATTCCCGGGAAGCTCCAAGTCGCAGCCGAGCGATCCGACTGCACCCGCGGCTCCTCCCTGTCCTGCCCCTCCCAGTCCTGCTCCCCAAGTCCCGCCCACCAATCCCAAGCCCCAACCCCACTGGCTGCTTTCCCTGCCACTCCCCACCGCTGGCAAATCGCAGAGCAGCGGCGTCAGGAGAAGGTGGGGACACGACAGTGGGGAAACAAGCAGGTGACCCAGCGCAGGTCTGCGCTCCCGCCCACGTCCCAGGATCTCGGCCTCCAACCAGGCTCTGGTTAGAGGTTCCAGGATCTCGGCCTCCGTCCAGGCTCTGGTTAGAGCCCGGGCAGCGCGGACATCGGGGTGCGACCCCGGGCGCGCTGGTGCCTGGCTGATCCCCGCTGCCCGGTTCCCTCCCGCCTTCGGTCTCCTAGTGCTCTCCTCTTTCTCCGCCCTGGTCTTCCCCCCTCCACCCCACTCCCACGCTCCACGGGGCTCTAGGGCAGAAGGGCTGGGGAAACCCGAGGACCCCAATGCCTCCCCAGCGGTACCTGCGAGATTCTTGCTGTCTCTGCAGCTGCTGCGTCTACTGATTCTGCTTTGTGGATGCTCCTCCGCCTTGATGGGGCAAGGCTTCCGGGCCCGTGACTCACAACAGATTGCACGTTGCTCAGGCCTGTGCTATCTCTGCCTCGGAAAGCCCCGGAAAGCCCTGTGCGGGGATCTGGGAGGAGCCTGCCCCACCGGGTTCCTGGGTTCCAGGCCTCGCCGGTGGCTTAGGGCGGTGTGGGGGCGCCTGGTTCTGGGAGGGTGGTCTGGAAGGCTTCTTCCAGCAGCGGATAGGTTTGTTTTTCTGGGTTAGTACGTGCAGTATTTGTGCTTAGTGTGCCAATGGAAGAGCAATTTCAAAGTTGGAACTTAACTTAAAAACAAGGAGTTCAATTTGCTAGTCAGTGGATTCCAAACTGTTTAGGCCAGAAACCTATCAACACAATGTTTGACACATCCCTGGTGGTTCTTCATTTAAATGTGATAATGTGCTTACATTACATTAGTACAAGCACTATAAAACACATACACAAAAATTTAAAGTAATGAGAAAAAAACATTTTTGTATCACAAAAATTATTTTAAAATTTTATGAGAGCAATGTGATTAAATATGTATGTGCCTATTGTTAACCTAGTTTAATGCTTTGAAATACAGTAATTTGCAGATCTGGTATTAAGTTCAGCTTATTTCTGAATTTGGATTGGTAACCATCATGGGAAAAAGCTTTTGGGGAAATGAGTTTATTTCAGTGGAATAAAGGCAGAGTTGGTTGTTCTTTCTAGATCTTGACACTTAATATTCAACTTATACACTAACTAATTAAAGTTTTTTTGTTAAAGTCTAGGTGAAATCTATCATCTTGAAAGCTAGTTGTTCTCACAAACCAATATTTTAAAATGTTGTCCTTTTAAGATTTTTAACAGGCCAAAGCCAACCAATTATCTTCTTTTGGGAAAGTCCAAAGGAAGTCTAGAAATTTACATTTTCAAATTTTTAAGTGTCCACATAAGAGAGTTTTAGCAATAAACTGATGTAAGCATGGGAAACAATATCAGAACAGTTGTTCTGAAAATGATATTGCAGACTCTTTAAAAAGCAGTGAATTTCTCATTTGTAGATAAAATGCCCTGTTGCTTGGAAGGCAATCAGTTATATGTTTTTCAAAACTATTTGCTAAATATTCTCCAAGGAACTTACTATCACAGAAAAGCTTAGCACATTGGGACAATACCTTTTAAAGAGAGATAGAGGAAAAAAAAAAAAAAATATATATATATATATATATATGTGTGTGTGTGTGTGTGTGTGTGTGTGTGTGATTAATTGCCTTTTTCAAGTACTCTCATTAGATAATAAGCATGCCTCCAAAAAAATATTGCAGACTCTTTAAAAAGCAGTGAATTTCTCATTTGTAGATAAAATGCCCTGTTGCTTGGAAGGCAATCAGTTATATGTTTTTCAAAACTANTGTGTGTGTGTGTGTGTGTGTGTTGTGTGAGATTATCTTGTCGAACAGGAAAAGGAAATGAATTAAACTATTTCATCAACCTCGTTTACATTTTAATTGCTCCTAATTGTAAATTCCTACTTCTGGTTTCTTCCGTCTTTCCTCTTCCTTCATCTCAATTCCTCGCCTCCATCCCTTCCTAACATTCAGGTGCTGGTCAGTAGTGTAGCATTTCCCATCCATATCTACCCCATACAGCTACACACATACTGGCTCACCCCCACACAGGTGCATGATCCTGCTCATGCCAACAGGCAGGCAGGCGCAGAGACCAGCTAACAGAATCACTTCCCTCCTCTTTTTCTGGGGCTCAATCTCATCTGTACAAGTTCTTGAAAAGGTTGAAAACTGAAACAAAACAGACCTTGTCCAATACATCTAAAAAGGAATTAATTTCAATGTAATGCAAAACAATAGTATTAGGTTCAAGTGCTACAATTAGATTGTCACAAAAACACAGCAAGGAAAAGTTTTTATTTCCAGCCAATAAAATACATTGATATTAAGCTAGTGTTCCTTTCATAGCTGAACAAATGAAAACAAGGACAATTATGTACTATCTACAGACTCGCAGGAAAAATGACAGAAGATCTCAGAAGTAAGCCTTCTGCTTCCAAGTATGTGACATGGTTGTCCTCCTGAGACCCTTGAACACTTCGAATTCTGCTCTCCAAAACCCCTCCCCCTCCACACATCCCAGAGTGCATGTATTCAAAGGGCACTTCCATAGAACCATCCCCACATTCTTAGGGAGAAGGAAATGAAGCATAATTGTAATAATTACTGACCAGGAGGAGACACGCATACTGAAATGCATGCCTGTAAGTTGTCCAGGTGCTCTATAACTGAAAAACTTTCAAAGTGCTAAGGAATCCCCCCTTGTAGAGAAGCTGTTCTGAAAGTTTGGGCAGGTGTTTTGTAGGCAGTGTAAAGGGGGAATGTCGCCCTCAGGATTGGCAGGTGTGAAGAATGCAGCAGGAAGAGCATGGTAGTGTGGGGGCCCAAGGAGTGGATCTGCTGGGGGGTGGGGGAGGCAAAATGGGTCCCAAGTGCTAGCCTTAGAGTCTAGACTGGGGCTAGGGTCTGGACAGCCACAGGTGGTTTTTAAATAAATATCTTAAGGAGTAGGTTGGGGTTTAGAAAAATGACATGGCTCACTATATGGTGAGGAAAAGGGCTGGGGAACGTGCAGGAAGACCACTACCACGGACTAGTGACTCCTGTGTGGAGGAAACACCTGTGCTGGAGAAGAGAGAGAGGGAAGTGCCCGCAGAGGACTGCCCACACAGGCTGAGCAGGAGGCCAGGATCATTCTGAGCACAACCCTCCAAATTCATAGGAAACTTACATGAGGAGACACCCTGGAATGGGGAAGGTCATACATTCCACTGGAGAGGCGGGGAGCATACCATACCAAGTGGACCTGTAACAAGGACAGCCAGGGATGTTTGGACATATAGGTAGGCCACTGGGTGAGTAGAGGCCCTGGCATGAGAGGCTGGGAGTCATCAACATCCTGATTCCAGGAGAGTCTATGAGAATGGATGAAATGACTTGGAACATGTGGTTAGTGGAGACACCCAAGGACAAATTCACTTAATTAATGGAGGGGTTCCCCTATATTTAAAGGTAGTAAAAGGAAGAAAAAAGAGACTGTGACCCAGCAATCAGGGATGTACTGGGAGAACTGGGAGGTGAGTCTGTGGGAGGTCCATTATACACAGCATCATTACACACAGTTGGAAACCACCGGGAAGTTACAGGGGAGGAGAAAGCAGCCCTTGGTGAGGGGGTCAGCAGTGCCCTCCGCACAGGAGCACAGAGCTAAAGGCTGAAGAGGGGTACCTGGGGAGTGAGGAACTAATTTAAGTAACTAAAGGGCTACTGCGGCTACAACCTAAGGGGGAGGTCGGTGAAGAAGGATTTGGTGGCCCGGCAGGTGGAGGGTGGGGGATACCAGGGACGTAACTCAGGGTAGAGCGCCCCCCTAGTGTGCTGGTCCGCAGGAGGCACGAGTCCAGTCCCGGTACCGCAGGTGGGGGGGGACGGTGCGGTTTAAGTTGAAGGGAAGTGACCACGGAGGAAAATGAAAGACGAAGGGAGGGAGGAAAGGAAGCAAGGAAGGGAAGGTACAGACTACCAGCTGCTGCCGCAGGAGACCCGCGTTCGTGCTGGAGGTAGCTGAGACCCCGCACTTCCCTAGAACTTGCCCCAAGGCGCCACAAAATTCCCGGGAAGCTCCAAGTCGCAGCCGAGCGATCCGACTGCACCCGCGGCTCCTCCCTGTCCTGCCCCTCCCAGTCCTGCTCCCCAAGTCCCGCCCACCAATCCCAAGCCCCAACCCCACTGGCTGCTTTCCCTGCCACTCCCCACCGCTGGCAAATCGCAGAGCAGCGGCGTCAGGAGAAGGTGGGGACACGACAGTGGGGAAACAAGCAGGTGACCCAGCGCAGGTCTGCGCTCCCGCCCACGTCCCAGGATCTCGGCCTCCAACCAGGCTCTGGTTAGAGGTTCCAGGATCTCGGCCTCCGTCCAGGCTCTGGTTAGAGCCCGGGCAGCGCGGACATCGGGGTGCGACCCCGGGCGCGCTGGTGCCTGGCTGATCCCCGCTGCCCGGTTCCCTCCCGCCTTCGGTCTCCTAGTGCTCTCCTCTTTCTCCGCCCTGGTCTTCCCCCCTCCACCCCACTCCCACGCTCCACGGGGCTCTAGGGCAGAAGGGCTGGGGAAACCCGAGGACCCCAATGCCTCCCCAGCGGTACCTGCGAGATTCTTGCTGTCTCTGCAGCTGCTGCGTCTACTGATTCTGCTTTGTGGATGCTCCTCCGCCTTGATGGGGCAAGGCTTCCGGGCCCGTGACTCACAACAGATTGCACGTTGCTCAGGCCTGTGCTATCTCTGCCTCGGAAAGCCCCGGAAAGCCCTGTGCGGGGATCTGGGAGGAGCCTGCCCCACCGGGTTCCTGGGTTCCAGGCCTCGCCGGTGGCTTAGGGCGGTGTGGGGGCGCCTGGTTCTGGGAGGGTGGTCTGGAAGGCTTCTTCCAGCAGCGGATAGGTTTGTTTTTCTGGGTTAGTACGTGCAGTATTTGTGCTTAGTGTGCCAATGGAAGAGCAATTTCAAAGTTGGAACTTAACTTAAAAACAAGGAGTTCAATTTGCTAGTCAGTGGATTCCAAACTGTTTAGGCCAGAAACCTATCAACACAATGTTTGACACATCCCTGGTGGTTCTTCATTTAAATGTGATAATGTGCTTACATTACATTAGTACAAGCACTATAAAACACATACACAAAAATTTAAAGTAATGAGAAAAAAACATTTTTGTATCACAAAAATTATTTTAAAATTTTATGAGAGCAATGTGATTAAATATGTATGTGCCTATTGTTAACCTAGTTTAATGCTTTGAAATACAGTAATTTGCAGATCTGGTATTAAGTTCAGCTTATTTCTGAATTTGGATTGGTAACCATCATGGGAAAAAGCTTTTGGGGAAATGAGTTTATTTCAGTGGAATAAAGGCAGAGTTGGTTGTTCTTTCTAGATCTTGACACTTAATATTCAACTTATACACTAACTAATTAAAGTTTTTTTGTTAAAGTCTAGGTGAAATCTATCATCTTGAAAGCTAGTTGTTCTCACAAACCAATATTTTAAAATGTTGTCCTTTT